CCCCAAAACCCCAAAACCCCAAAACCCCAAAACCCCTTCTCTTTAACAAATTTTTGAAATATTTTAAAAATGATTGACGCATTCCTTATCATTGTGGTGTTGGTCCTCATGGTGATCCTGTGTGTTATAAATATCTATATCCTAGCACATTACAGCCACCCATTGGAATCTAAATTTGGAGAGTCCTTGTTTGCCAAAATAATCATTGTGGTGGCTCTCCTACTTCCAGAGGTGGAGATCCTCATGCTCCCTCTTGATGTCAGCAATCAACAAGAAGGCGGAAATTTGGATATGAAAGGCTTCTGGTACACCATGACAATGACTTCGATGATATTTGTCTTCCTAATCTTGCCCATTGCTTATTTCTACTATGAAACAGAGGGTGAAGAGTTGAAGTCTCGCATTTGGTATGCAGCAAAAATGCAATTTTTCTTTCTGCTAATATCATCAATTATTGTATTTGTCAGTTATGCAGCTCTAGCTTATGCGAATATTCCATTAGATGACATTACTTGCACTTTACCAGCAGATCCTACTACAACTTCTTGTGACGGATCAACGGTGCTGCAAGACTTTGATTCTACACAATTCAGCACAGACGAAGGTTGATCTCGGACAGATCAGTCTTTCAAGGTGAAAGTGTCATTCGCAGTTTACTTTGTCGGATTGATGGCCTTCATTGGCTCTTGGGTGCTAATAATTTTCCTCGGAGTTGGCCTCAGCGCGGTGCCTATTGATCTCATCATTGAGTTCAGAACAAGACCAAAGAGGATCAGTGAGAACAAATTTAATAATCGGAGGAATCAACTTCTCAAGCATGTTAAAGGGCTCCGCCAGGAAGGCAAGAGACTTGAAGGCATCAAAGAAGTAGCAGATAGGGGTAAAGGATGGAAAGGATTTAAAGAACGAAGGGTTTTCAAACGTGATCTCACCAAATTCGAAGCTAAATGATTAATTGCTGAAAAGGAGTTCATGATACTCGAGAAAATCTCTAATCTCAAGAAAACAGAGCCTTGGCTATACTATCTTAAGCTCTTTGCTGGATGCGTATTAGTTATTCTGAGCTTTGTTTGGTTCTTACATATCTTCTTATGGGTTCTGATCAAACCGAACGGAAATCAGGTTCATCCATTTCTAAACAGTTTCTTGGAAGGACTTAGATCTGGGCATGTAGAGTTTCTATCAACTGCTGTCTTTGCTGCTATAGCTTTATATCTTCTTTGGTGAACCTTAAAGGGAAACATTAAGTTTGGACTAAGGTTCTTCTGATTTACTCTATACCCATTGAAGCCTAATGAGACATTCCTCAGTTCGTTAATGTTCAATGCCTGGATGATTAACGTATGGGCGTTTGCTCTCCTGCAGTATTTGACACTTAACTTCTCAATGTTTGCCCGTATGACAGATGCTTACTTGATTTTCATTCTCCAAATAGAAAACACTTGGTTCTTTAAATGGTTCTACAAGAACGAAATTTTCACCTGGATCCTAATCATCTGGATTGTTTTGGCATTCTTCTATCTGATATTCAAGCCAACAGAGAGGCTCTCGTTGGAAGACCAGGTGAGGAACAAAGATTTGGAAGCAAATAGGAATTAAAGTTAGTGGAATTAATAGGAGTTACACTTATTCAACCTATACCATTTTGTCAGGGGTTTTGGGGTTTTGGGGTTTTGGGGTTTTGGGGTTTTGGGGTTTTGGGG